ATTCCTGCGCAGATAGACCAACGAGAGAGTGGGGGGTGAGACAACAGGACTGAGCAGGCCCCAGCAGCAAGAGGCAGCAGAGGGGGCCGCCATTTGCCCGGTCTGACCCCGCCCCCACATAGAGTGTCACAACCCAGCGACCTGGGTGGCCCCGCCCTGGTAAACATCTAAGGCTCTGCTCCTCATAATTAACAGGCGGGAACAGACCAAAAATGGCTCAAGAAGATCTCAAAGCCCCAGAGCCCATGAATGTAAGTGATGAAGAAATAGCAAAACTTTCAGATGCACAGTTCAAAACACTGGTAATCAGGATGCTCACAGAACTGGTTGATTATAGTCACAAATTAGGGGAACATATGAAGGCTAAACTAATTGAAATGAAGGGAATTGCACAGGAAACCAATAGTAATGAAGAGGAAACTGGGACTCAAATCAAGGGAGTGAACCAGAAGGAAGAAAATAATGGCCAAACAGAAAAATATGAAGAGACAAGAATTCAAAAAAATGAGAAAAGACTTAGGAACCTCCAGGACATCTTTAAACGCTCCAACATCCGAATTATAGGGGTACCAGAAGGGGGAAAGGAACAGCCACCAGTGGAAAACTTATTTGAACAAATAATAAAGGAGAATTTCCCCAATCTGGCAAAGGAATAGACTTCCAGAAAATCCAGGAAGCTCAGAGAGTCCCAAAGAAGTTGGACCCAAGAAAAAACACACCAAGGCACATCATAATTACATTAGCCAAGATTAAAGTGAGGGAGAGAATCCTAGAAGCAGCAAGAGATAAGGGGACAATCACCTACAAGGGAGTTCCCATCAGACTGTCAGCAGATTTCTCTTGGAAGACCCTGCAGTCAGGAAGGGGCTGGAAGGAGGTGTTCCAAGTCATGAAATCCAAAGACCTACAGCCAAGATTACTCTGTCCAGCAAAACTTTCATTTAGAATGGAAGGACAGATAAAGTGCTTCTCAGATAAAATCAAATTCAAGGAGTTCATCATCACCAAGCCCTTATTATATGAAATGGTAAAGGGACTTACCTAAGAAAAAGAAAATAAAAAATATGAACAGTGAAAGGACAGCAAACTCACAGTTATTAACAACCACACCTAAAACAAAAACAAACTAAGAGGACAGCTAGATCAGGAGTGGAACCATAGAAATGAAGATCTCATGGAGGGTTAGCAACAGGGGAGTGGGAGAAGGAGAAGGGGGAAGAAAGTACAGAAAATAAGTAGCATAGATGGTAGGTAGAAAATAGTTAAGGGGGAGGGCAAGAATAATATGGAAAATACAGAATCAAAAGAACTTGAGACACGCGTGGTCATAAACTAAAGGGGGGAATGTGGGGGAGGGGTGTGCAGGATGGAGGGGAATGAAGGGGGGAAATAGAACAACTGTAATGGCATAATTAATAAAATATATTTTTAAAAATTAAAAAAAAAATGACTTTCTGACCTGGCTGGTATGGCTCAGTCCAAGCCTGCGAACCAAAGGGTTGCTGAGACCCAGTGAGGACACATGCCTGGGTTGCAGGCCAGGTGCCCAGTAGGGGGCGTGTGAGAGGCAACCACACATTGATGTTTCTCTCCCTCTCTTTCTCCCTCCCTTCCCCTCTCTAAATAAAATCTTTAAAAAAAATGATTTTCAAAGTATTAGCCTGATTCATCAAGAAAGTGTGTTGAATAGTTTTCTGTTTAAGGTAGTAAAACATTTTAAATCCATATTTTTTTATCCAAAATACTTAGAACTATTCACTTTTTGAAAGTTGAACTGTTCTCTGCCATCTAAAATGACTCATTATTTCCAGATGCCTTTTTGAGTTGTTACAATTCTTATTTTTCAAAGCAAAGAAGGTGGAGGTAAATTTCTAAGTTCCCTGTTTTAAAATTATATTTGAAATAGGATACGACTTACGTCTTCTTTAAATGATTAACGAGTGATCTCCAGTTTTTCTAAGTGTTCTAACGGGTTGGAGGGAGGCATGCAAAACTGTTGCAGTAGGGGTTCTGGTCCGTCACAAATGGACTGTGGGCCTGTATGTCTAAATGTTTCTCACAGTCAAAATAGGAAGCTAATTCTAGCCACTCTCAGGAGACCTAGAGATGTCCTTTGTGAAGTTTCATCCTTTCCCGCATCCTTTAGCCTTATAGGCGAAAGACGCCCCACTACCGGCAGTTAGAGCTGTTGGCCTGATTTGTGCCATGCTGGCCTTCAGAGATCAGCATCTTCTTTTATTACCAAAGTTTGTGATGCTCCTTTAGTATTCTGAAATAAATTTCTCTAATATAACCTACCTATTCACATAATTTTAAAAATTGTACATTTCTCTGTCATGTAAGAAGAAATACAAAAATTAAATAACTTATAAAATGTATAGAAAAACAAAAACACCCTGGATCACTTTCCTTCACCTGATCTTGAAAAGTGGTGCTTTTTTTTAAGATTTTATTTATTTATCTTTAGAGGGGAAGGGAAGGAGAGAGGGAGAGAAACATCAATGTATGGTTGCCTTTCGTGCGTCCCCTGCTGGGAACTGGCCTGCAGGGAACCTGCCTGCAACCCTGGCATGTGCCCTGACTGGGAATCGAACCGCAATTGTCTGGTTCGCAGGCCCGCGCTCAATCCACTGAGCTACACCAGCCAGGGCGAAAAGTGGTGTTTTATGGTCTGTGTTACGGGGTCTTCCCTTCACCAACCACAGACTGGTGGTCTGTGTTATGTAAACTGCCTGCCATACCCTGTGCTTGTTTACCCTGTTGTTTATGTTGATATACCCTTCCATCCCTTTCACTTCAGACAGCTCACCCCCACTCTTGGAGATCATAGTGACTGAGGTGCACGGGAAAGAGGGCTGGGCTGGGAGTCAGGAGACCACGGGGTCAGTTCAGATTGTACCCTGGTTAGCTCTTTGGCCTTGATTAAGTCACTTTTCTGAGTCTCAGCATCTTCCATCAAAGTGATCTCTAGTGCCCCTTCCATCACTGTCTTACTGATTCGTTCTTATTTCATCTAGTCTCAGAGTATGGTTACTAGGGTTTGGAAAGGAGGATGAAGCTGGGTTCTTAACTTTAAGGAGCACTGGAAGACTGGGGAACTTGAATAAATATTAATTTCCTGGTTCTACTGCGAAGGACTTGAATTCAATTTGAATGTTTTCAGCAAGCGTTCCTGTTGATGCTCATACAGATATCTGCGAAAATTCTGTCTTGGTAGGTTCTAAATATGGTACCAGATGTTTCTAAGTTTATTGTAGAGAGGGTGAGAGCCAAATATTTTATTTTTACATCTTATAAACTATAAATATGATTGTGTGCAGTGTAGTTACAATAGAACTAGACAGTAAAAAACAAAGTTGATAACCTTTGGAGTTGGTTTGAAAGTCTTAAAGGTTTTTGTTTTAAAATGCCTTCACATGCTAATAGAGTCCCATCTGAATCTGAGACTTAGTGATTCTTTCCTGGCACGTATTTGCAGTATTAGTGAGAAGAGAGTGTGTTTAGAACTTAATTTTGATTGTTAAAGCAGGGCTGCCGGGCGCTGGAGGGTAGGGTCTCTGTTGGCCATTTCTCACCTAGTTTGACACTTTTCCATCTCGTCAAAAGGAAATAATTTACTGGCATTTGCATAAAGTGTCACAGCACCACTGCAGGTGTTAACCCCAAGAAAATGATTGAGTTTGTAGCTCATTTCCCAACTGTTTATTTAATGTTGGTATTATTAATTTAGATTAAATATCCATTTCCTTCTTTTCTGGGGAAGACCCCTGAGTTTTCATTTCTGTGGTAGTAAATGTCTTGCGTTTTTCCACTTGCCTATTCACATTTCAGCTAGATTAGGTAGCTGTTGTGCTTGTTCTTCTGTTTCCTGGGATGTAGCTGTCACCTGTTACTTGAGGAAATCTGCCTGATCCAGACTCTCCTTGTTATAATATGGCAGGATTCTTTCTTTTTACTTGGAAATCTAAAAGCATTGATCGGCAAGTAATATTTACATTCTGCCTCTTTCAACTGTGTAACTTTGTACACAATTTTATTTTCGTTGTCTTTAGCCTAAACCTTTAAATCGGGTTTTTCTTCCCTGGATTTAAGCCTAGTATGAGCAAGATGCCTTCACCCTTTGTTATTTGGCCCGGGATGGCCAGCAGGCTGGTCTGCCACCGCCCTTCCTCCTCCCCTGTTCCACAGACACCACTGCACGGTCCTCACGCTCTTTCCTCCTGCGCTTCCTGTAGTCTTAGAGTCAGCAGTGGAGCTCCAGGCATGCACTGCATTAGGCCATCCTCAAGCATCTCTAAAGTGTCACTTAGTTTTTTATCTTATTTGCAGCCATTACCTTGGAAAGACCAGGAAAGAAGAAATAGCAGCAATTTTTCTTAATATTTATCAGGTCAAGTGCACTCCAGAACTGTTATAAAATATTCTGGTAGCACTTACTGGTAAGCAGACCCTTTGGTAAAATAAGAGACCAGTTGCCAATTTCATGTTCTACGACAGCTCTGTCTGGGACTGTCTGGGAAGAATGTCGATCTCAGTGCTTTTAACCTAAAGGTGGCTATCTGCCAACTTTATTTCAAACTTTGTTGGAGATCTGCTTAATGATTATGACCTGCATCAGGCAGAAACAGCCCTGGCCCTGGCATAAGGAACTCACAGTCTGTAGAGGAGCAAACAGATAAACCTCCATCCTGCAGTAGGTAATGTGCGTTGAGTGAGACGGGGGAAGAATAATTTTCTAGAGCTGTGTAGAGGAAACAATGTTGGGGCTGAGGCTTGAAGGATAAGCAGGGGGTTCCCCCAGGAGGAAACTCCTGGGGGAGGAGAGGAGGGGGAGGCATCCGGATGGCAAAGGGGCCAGGGTGGTTAGAGCTGCCCTTTGTCCTTGAACTGCAGGATCCTTAAGGGTTACAATTAAATGGGACTTAAAATAAATTCCTGGTAGTATTATATATTGATAACCCCTTAATTTGTTTCAAACTCTTTCCGACGATGTTTTCCAGGAACCCGAATCATTTACGATCGGAAGTTCCTGTTGGATCGGCGCAATTCTCCCATGGCTCAGACTCCACCCTGCCACCTGCCCAACATCCCAGGAGTCACCAGCCCTGGCACCTTAATCGAAGACTCCAAAGTAGAAGTAAACAATTTGAACAACTTGAACAATCATGATAGGAAGCATGCAGTTGGTAAGAGAATGCTGGAATTGGGAACCAAGAAGGTGGCCCCGGAAATTTGAATGTCAGTCAGTTGTAGGTTGAAAAATGCTGATGCTTCAGTTGTAACTAATGTTCAGTCATATGTCTCTAAGGCTCCCACCTCCCCCCGAGTCCCCTCCCCAGTGTTAATTGAAATGTTCTGGAAACCCTAAGTTTAAATCATATTCAAATTTCATCCAGTGAGTGCAAAGGAAAAACCCCAAATCAGGGAATGGTAAATTCCTAGGATGAGTCCTTGAACTTAGGCGTTATGGGACTGGGGAGAACATATACCAAAACCCCAGAACAATTCAGTAGTCCCCATTTTCATCGTTTTTATGGTGTGGGGGAAAGCAGTATGTTTTCCCCCTGTTTTCTAGGATTGCCTACAACATTTAAATAGCCCCTGCACACACACATTTAGTAATGAATCCTCGTGCAGGGGAGAGGGGGGGAAACAACAGCCAGCCCCTGAAGTCCACCGCAGGTTACACTCCCTGACCCACGTACGTGAGTCAGCATTCTACCTCCCCAGATCCCAAATGAGTTTTTAATGCACAATTTGTCGATTCACAGCAGGGCCAAAGTTCAAAGCCTCCAGCAGAGTGTGCCGACGTGATAGACGGCATCCCCGGAGCTCCTGTTTCCGCAACCCGTGGAGAAAAGGATGCTGGGGAAGTTTTCACGTGCATCCTCTTTTCAAATGTTCCTTTCAAATGGAGATTTAAAAGCCCTTCTTTCTGTCTTCCCCCAGATTAAAAAGACCAGCCAAAGTAAAGCAGGATAATTGTTTTAAGGCAGCAGAAAATGGGGCAGTTTGAATTCATTTTTGACCCTCATACAGAGGAATGACAATTGAAGCTGTTTTGCTTTTCCTTTTTGTGTAAAACTTCTTTTTCATTCTAACTAGGGGATGATGCCCAGTTTGAGATGGACATCTAACTGTCCTGCAAGGATCAGAAGAGCAGCAGCAACGCTGATACCCGTGTAAACCTGATGCGGCCAATAGGATTAACAACGAAAACACAGAAGAGGCAGCACCAGCGGTCCCCATGGCAGTCTCCACCTCCTCTTCCCCTGGTGCCAAACGATGCGAAGATGAGCTTCATCTGACCATTTCCTCGCTCTGGTTCCCCTTCCCAGTTAGATTAGATGGAAGACCCATGGCATGCTTCTGTAGAACTTAGCAGCTCACAAAGGAAAAGAGTTGAATTCTGGCTTCTCTAAGTCATTTTTGTGTTGAGAAACACACTGCCCCCCTCTCCCCCCTGAAAAAAATTGTTTTAATCCCAAATCAAATATCGACCTACCAGCAAATGCCAGCAGGGACGTCTGGGTTCAGCGTTGTGTTCTTACCCTGTGTCTCTCCTCCCTGTCTCTAGCCCATGGTTCAGTGCTACGAGAGTCTGGGCTTAGGGTCTTCAAAACAAGAGGGAAATAAACAAGAAGAGAGATACTTTCTCTCTAACCCCAAGGTGATTGTCCTTGGCCAGCACAGGTTGAGCAACTCTTTGTAGCACTACCCTGTGACTCTGTTCAAAGGTCTGCTTCCCCTCCCTCTCTGTCTTCGGTATTATAGTTCATCTTCCCACTCCTCCTCTTAGCACTTGTGTACAAAAGATTTTAAGCCCTCTGCGTGAGAAGGGTGTTGTGGATAACCAGCTGTTCTTTCCTCTGCTTCCATCATGTTGCTTGCCGACCTGGTGTGCTCTGAGCATCCAGGTGATCTCGCTGCTCCCAGAGCAGGTCCATGCCAGGTGACAGGTGTTTGGGATAAGGCCTGATCGGGTATCCTGAAGATGATACTTAAGAATGCATTTGGAAGAGCATTGACCCATTTTTGTAGCTAGTCTCAGTGGTCATTGTTTTTCAACCCAGTGAATATTGTAAATTTTATCTCAGGTTGCAGTTTTTTCTATCTTGAGTTTAGAAAAGAACTAACCTTTTTTCCTTTGTGGACCTGCTTTATTTGGCTGCTGAGATAGACAAGCATGGGCTTCAAAATGTGTTCCTCCCAATTTTCTTGCCTTTCCCATTCCGAATTTTTCCTTTCTTCTCCTCCCTCCCTCCATCCCTCCCTCCCTCCCTCCTTCCTTTCCTTCCTCTTTCTCTCCCAGGCCATTTTTCAAATATACATCAAAGATACCTCACGTGTTGGTATCTGATAATATCTGTCACTTCTCTTATCTGAGGAGTGACGTTTTATTTTTTAAAATGACTACAGACCTATTTTTAGATATGTTTTCAATACAGTTTTGAACAGCAACTTTTTAATCACATCTTCCAGTGTCAGGAAGGTGAGAACTGTCTGTAGGCGAGTCTGCTGTCCCATTTCACCAGCCTGCGTCTCCTGCCAGCTCTCTCTTCCCTCTAGTTTCGGGTGTGTGCGTTTGGCATCCGTAGTGGGTGCTTTGTACAGCTGGACCGTTCTGCCTTGTCTTAGGTTGTACGTGAACACCTCCTCCTTTCCCCTTACCCTGTGCCCTGCCATTCCTACCACCCCCCACCCCCCCCCCCCCCGCCCCCCCGCCGCCTGACTGTTGACTAGCACAGTAATCCCAGGAACTGACTCCCTGCTCAGAAAGACTAATGCCTCTGTCCCCTCATAGAAAGACAAGTACCTTCTGATGTCCTGGGAATTTCTGTTTGGATTCGATGCCCTGAACCCTTGTAGTAAGAGATCACAACTCAGGGTGAGATAATAGGCCAATTGGCTAAGAAAGAAAGCTGTTTTTCTTTTGAACTATGAAAAGATTCTGTTTGCAAATACATTTTAGACAAGAGAGAGGGTGTCAGGGGGTCTTTGTTCTGTTTTCTGCTATGATGTGAATAGTTCAGAGTAAGACCTTTTGTGATGGTTGATGTCTCTCAGGAATAAGCTGGACCTCCAAAGTTTTGGAGGTGCTTTCAGCCTCAAAAATTAATGATCAGAAAAGTACGTTATGTTTATTTGTTTACTGTGTCCCTATTCTGATTATTATTAAACTCCAAATTTTGCTTTGCATTCTCTTGGAAAATCTCAAATGGCACTGTAATTTGCATGAGAAGCTTGCTCAGGACCTCTTTGTCCCCTGGAAGCATGATGCTTTAGGAATGAAGCTTTTCATTCATCCCCTCGCCTTGGCGTCCTGTGGAGTCTGACCCTGCAGCCAGTCGGTCTGTCAGTGAGCCAGAAGAGCACCCTTCCTGATCTTTACTGTTGTATGCAAAAACTCAGCTTCCTCACCAGACAGTGGGGAGTGGAATTAAAACATTCCATGACAGCGTGAGTAGGATTTAGACACCATTTTTTTCTTTTTTGGCCATCTTGAGCAATCTGCACGTGGCCGCCTGATCAGAAGCTAAGTTTCTAGGACTCTTGGGGGTATCAGCTGTATGGTACAGCAGCAGCCCAATCCCTTCACCTTCTGTGCAAGGACTTACTTATTCCTCAGTGCACTTCTTTCTGGAGGCCATTTCTCCCAGAGATACTTTGACTTCGTATGTTGGTGTTTTAAAGATGATTTTACAAGATAACAGATAAAGTTTCAGCAGATGACACTTTTGGCCATGCCTCAGAATTATTTTCAGGGCAAGCCAGAATCCAGTAAGTGGTTTACTTCTGGATGTTTGGAAGGAAACAGAGATAAAGCTCCCGATGAATTGTCTATCCTGGCTTTTTCTTGGGGAGGAAACCCCCTTAGGGTACCATTTGAGTGAGATGGTTCTTAAAATCTTAGCGAGTGTTTGTATTTTTCTCTCTATGAAGAAACCATGCATGTTTCTTTATTTCAGGGGACAGTACATCTTAAGACAAATGACATCTTCCTCCAAATTCCAGCAGGACACATGCATCGTCATGGTTCTGCCTTCTTTATAGTGTGGCTTCCTGAGCTCACCACTTCCTCATTCTGTTTAAATAGCTACCACATTCTCAAGGGCACAGTTGTAGGGAAACTGGCTTGTAGGTATTGGGCTTCCAAGCTTAGAGTTTTGCTTTTCCACCTCTGTTATCTATCGCTGTGTAACTACCCCTGAACTTGCAGTCTCACAAGAGCAAATATCATCTATCCATTTCTGTGGGTTAGTAATTCAGAAGCAGCTTGGCATCGTGGTTCTGGCACAGCAGTCTCAAAGTTGCAGTCAAGCTGTTGGCGGGGACTACAGTCAGTCCCCTTCTAAGTTCTCGGTGTGGTTGTTGGCAGGATGCCTCAGTTTCTCCCCCTGTGGGTCTCTGCGTAGGGCACTGTGAGTGTCCACACACTGTGGCAGCTGGCTTCCCCTGAGATCTGGGGGTGGGGGGGACGAGGGAGAATTTGCAATGCCTTTTATTGACAGTCTGAAAGTACGCACCTTTACTTCCTTACTCTATTCCTTAGAAGCAAGCCACTAAGCCCAGCCTGCACTCAAGGGCAGAATTAGGCCCCACCTACTGAATGGAGCAGTATCAAAGAATTTGTGGGTACCACTTCATCCCTAACAGGATGAAACCAAGCCCATGGTGGTGGGGGTTAGGTTTAAACTAGATATATTGAGAGATATGTTGCTACTGGAAACAGTACTCGAAGATGTGTGTCCCCAAACTGGGATGGAAGATAGACTTTCCTGAAAGCTCCTTGCTGATTTTGAGAGGAGTGGCTGGATACGGCAGTTCGCGGAACATAATGCCTGTACACTGGCCTAACTGCCAGCATCCCATAGATGCTGCTTTGTAAGTTCTAGCCTTGGCAGCTCTAAGACTCAGTACCACTTACTTGCTATCCCTCCCGGCCAGGAATTGACAAAGGGAACTGGATCCACTAAAGTTGACTTCATTGTAGCCCAGCAAAGGGTGTGAACCTGAATTAGATGTTGAGTTACTGAGTTGAAGAGAAGCCATACAGAAACTTGTCTTGAGTGGATTTACATTCTGCCTCTTCACAGCACTTTCTTATCTGTAGCCCTGTTTGCTTTAGAGTTCAGGTTCAGGGTGAAAGAGGTGGCAGCATCTGGACCACATCTGCCAGAGTTGATGCTTGACACCCGTTCTTCGGCTGCCCCAGCCGAAACCGTCTTGGGTCAGGTTTCACCCGAGAAACGACTCGTCAGAGTGGGGACACCTGGGATTAGAAGTGTCTGCGCTTCGTTGTTCCCTTAAGTCCAGTGTGCAGGGCACCTGTGCACCCTCTTAGTCCCGGGCTTCCTGATGGATGCGGGTTTTTAGGAATCCCAGTCCTGTCTTCACCCTTGAGAGAGACTTGGGGGAGGCTCATCAGGTCGGCACGTTCTCGGTGAGTGTCTGCTGCGTGTCTGTGGCTCCCACACCCAGCCAGGTCTGTGGGGATGTCGGACGTCTCCAACGTGCAGGTCCTTGCACGGTTTACACTCCGCCTCTCACCAGCACTGTCTTCTCTGTAGCCCTGCTTGCTTTAGAGTAGACTCGAATAAAAACATCGCTACTGAGGCAACTATGAGAAGAAGCTGTTTCTTCCGGAAGTAAGGAACTCATCTTTAAAGCACCTTCAAATGAGTCTTGCTTTTCCTCCTGAGTGTGAGGCAGAGTCAACATAGACGGTGTTTTATTTTTGCCGCTCGAGTTACCAACTCTTTGGGATTGTTAGTGCTTCCCTTCCCAGTTCAGACATTTCCATTGAAACGCAGCCTGCTAAATTGTGTAGGTTTCACCCCCAGAGCCCAACACTCAGCCAATATGTACTGAGCGCCTGCTTGACTCAAGACCACTAGTGTAAGGGGCTCATTGTATCGACAGCAATATCGCAGAAACCGCCTTTTTCCCTTCTCCCATCTTGGATCCTCAGTGGGGGTATTGAGCGTTGTGGCTGCTCAAGCCAAGCCCTCGGCCCTTTGCAGTTTCCTTTGAAGAGGAGGCCCAGTGCCTTTATGTGAGTCAGAGCTTCCCCTCTTGGCATGTTTCTGGCCTACATGCATACAGGCAGCTATTTATTAATCTGCGAAACCCAATCAGCCGCCCGTGACCTCGGGCATGGGGCACTAGTTGTTCTAAAGAAGCATTGTGTCTTTGGGAGGGCAGTTTCTGCCACCGGGCAGGGGACGTGGGGACCACACCTACTACGCCGCCCCTCCAGGTTCTTTACCTCTCAGCTTTTAATAAAAGAAGAAATCCTGTTCTGAGGCGTTGGGTCTCAGTTCTTTAGAATGCCTGTACCCCAGGGGCATTTTGTGATCTAGCAGCGACTTTCCAGTTCAGTACTGGAGTTTCCTTGAGGCTAGGCCACAAACATTTTTTTATTGAAGACTAAAGATGATGGATGCGTATTTTTTCAAACAATCATTCATGTCACTTTTCTCACACTCTAGAATTCTATTTACATTTGGGTTAGTCTTGGCAGTTGAGGCTTTTCAAGGCCCTGTTTGGATGGATGGTTGGCCGGCGGTTTCTCTCTGCTGAATCTCTGGGTGCGGCCCTCGCAGACCACACTGTGTGGGTGCCTGATGGAAAAATACTCTCCAGACAAAAACATATTCTGGGGGTACTTGAACCCTAACCCTGCCGCCTTTCAATCAGTGAGAGGTGCTGTAATGCCCAATAATCATTGGGCCACTTTGAAATTTGCAAAGGGAGCTCTTGTCAGTTCTTAAAACCAGAATTCCTGGACACTTAAAACTTAAGAGAATTCTGTGAATCTAGCACCGAATATCCGTTTTTTCCCCACTATAATCCTTTCCTTCTTAATTGTAAAAGGGGCAGGGGGCAAAAACCCAGTCCCGGCCAAGGGTAATTTTCCCTTGAAACCAGGAGAGTGGGGAGGAACCCTGTGGAGACGAGGGGCGAGTTGTGCAGTGGGCCCGTGCAGTTCCTGCACCTGAGGGTGGGGCCCGTCTCCACTGCGGTGGCGAGACCCTGCTACCCAGGGGTGAACCTTAGAGAATGTGGCTTGGAGGGTCCAGTTGGACACTCACATGTTCAGATGTCCATTTTAATCATCTTTAAAATATTTTATATGTTAAAAAAAGCCCTTCTTGGTCTTAGCAACACCAGTGGCCCAGTTCCAGCCATTCTGAATGGAAAAGTGGAGACTGCCAGTTCTTTCTGCCATCTTCCCTTCATCCCAACCCTTCCCATCCACTTCACTGTCCTGGATGGATGGCAGAGGGCACCATGTAGCCCCGAGGCAGTCCTGTGTAATTCTGTGACTAGTTGTTTCGGGGTTTTTGTTTGTTTTGTTTTTGCCTAACTGTCCTGAACCAGCGGGTGTTTGGAAATTAGGGGAAAAAAATAAATTCTCACCCATGGTTGCTGTTACAGTTAAATCAATAAAGATCTTGAATATTAACTTGGTGTTCTATGTAATTTTTTAAATTACAGGTGAAGTCCTGTTGGTTTCACATTGAGTCTTGGCTGGTGAAGAGGTGGGTGGAAGCAGTCGGCCACTCCATGTGTCCACTCTCAACACCTGGGGAGCACTGACTGTCCCCTGGGCCCTGTATATGCAAGAAGGTGACGTGTCCCCTCAGGAACTTTGGAGGTGAAGGTGTATATGCCGTGGCTGAGTGGACAAGGAAACCGGGTGCCAGGCCTGAGGAAGCCCTAACAGCTTTTCCTGAGGGCTGCGGCTGCCTCTCAGGAGCACTTGTTAGAAATCCATCATATCTGATGACTTAAAATAAACCAGGCTGGGCTGCATGCGCCTCAGATTCCTTGCTATTATTAATCCAGTGAGGCTCACATATTAGTATTGAGAACAAGAATTCTATCCTTTCGTGTTATAGAGGCAGTAAACAGAAGTCCACAGAATGAAACAGGACTGGAGAAGTGTTGCCATCGGGACAGGACATGTACAGGCTTCGGATAACAGGCTGGTCCCAGCTCTGCTGCAAAGCAGCGCGTCCGTGCGAATGGGAGCCTCTCGGCCTTCTTTCCTAGGTGGTTGCGAGGCTCCGGTAAGGTAGTGAGAAGCACTTAGCCCAGTGCCTTGTACATCGAGTTCATTCAGGGGCTCAAGCTCAGCTCGGCCGGTGTGACACCAGAGCTTGGTCGGCAGGATCTGCGTTGCCCCGAGTGTGCGAGTTTGGGAGTGGAGCAGGCTTGCGGATGGTAGCCCCCATCTGGCGGTGGGACCTCCAGAAGGACCGAAGAATCTCTTTAGGAAAGATGGGATGTTTGAATAATTTTGAAAGCACTTTGATACATCCTTTACTCTGCCCCAAAGGCAAACAGGATATTAACCTCAAAGGCAACTTCGGACAGAGGGGTAATGGTTTTGCTGCTAATAAAAGGGGGGCTTTACAAGATCGATTTAAACCCTGAGGGTGCTGTGAGTAACGACGGCCTCCCAACCGCTCCGTGTCCTATTTCTGTTTCTCTGTATTTCCATTTTTCCATTCCTCCCGCCAGGCCCCCGCACGCTTCCCCAGCCAGGGAGAGTAATGCACACTTCTCCCACTTACCACTGGCTTGGCACTGCTGTGGAAACAATGGAAGACCTTTGCCTTCAGAGCAAGGTCAAATACGGGTACCTCTGACAAATCTGAAAAGCTCCCTTGGCCCCCTGGCTAGGGCAGGACTCAGTTCTCAGAGGTAATATTTCCTCTGACTTACAAAGCACTTACCAGCACACAGGGTCCAGACTGTGGAGCTGCGTTGCTGGGTTTGGCCCCAAATCCCTCCACCAGGCAGCAAAATGCCCCTGCTGCTGACTCCGGCCTGACCTTTCAGCAGGGGTCGTAAAGCAGCATTTCACTGCTGGGTGGGAGGCAATGCCTTGTCAGTGAGGTTTGTCCTCTGTCAGAGCTGCTGACTGACTCCCACAGGCTGTAGCCACAGATAGCTTGACGTTTCACTGTCCTGGCCCCAACCATAGAACTATTCAGCACCTACTTAATAAAGATGCCCTGAAGCCCTAGCGTAGGATTTTCTCTCCCAAGAAATTCAGTGTGGTAGTGGAATTGGGATTCATGTCAGATTCCAAAGGCTACAGCTTTGATCCAAAGCTAGGGGGCAAAGACCTCTAAAAACGATGAAGAACGAAGTCCCTGGGCCTCCAGAGACCAGAGCCACTCCTAGCTGTGTGGTCAGGCCACCAGGCCTCTCTGGGGCTTCATTTAGGAAAGAGGGTAGGACGAGAGCTGACCTCACCAGGCCTCCCCAGCTCCACTGTTTTCTAAGTAGAGTCAGATGCAGAATCCTGTCGTGATCCTGAATCGTTAGGGCAGGTCTATTTCCACTCCCGGAAGTGAGCAGCTGGATCCGCTTTGTTTTGCAGAATCAGAGCATTGCGGTTTCTCAGGCCCAGGCCTTGCTCCAGCCTAGTCAACCCGCCTGGGCAACCAAGGCTGCAGTTGAATCACGACTAAACTCAGCAGATGTCCTCACTCGATTGAGATCATGTTCCAAGGGCTGGATGGAGCACAAGCCAATGGGCTTCTTGGGAAAGTGGGGGCAGATTTACTGTAGATTCACATTCCCTACAAAGTGGCCCCTTAGTCCTGGTATATACACTATATATATATACACATTGTGTGTGTGTGTGCGCGCGCGCGCATGTAAGTAAATAAAACCTCTCTCCTGTTTTGGCAATGCTGACAGAAATGCAGAATTGCCTTTAGGGTCTTTTCAGCCAGAAGACAAAGCCTTGTGTGTTTGATGGGAGAGCCTCCTACAAGAAAACTTGTGTCCCTTTTCTGTGCTGCCTTGAGGAACTTGAAGTTAAACCAGTCTTAGGACCCTGAGCAGCAAAAGCTGATAAAGGGTCAGATAAAGGGTGGGGCGGGACTGGGCTGGCAGGCTTTGTAGGGAGATGGGAGTAAATCCCAGAGGGCAATCTGATCGAAAACTCGAGGCTCTTCTGAGCCTGCCAGTGGACATTTCACAGAATGCATTCGGGTCCACCTGCTCTCACGTCTCGGGGTGAGGCTGAGAAGTGACTCACTCACCTGAGGGATAAAGGTCACACAGCTTTTCAGTGGCGGAGCTGTGACCATAACTCAAACCTGCCACGCAGGGCAGGGCCTTCACCCCTGCAGACCAGAAGCTGAGGGGTCTCATGCACAGTAAACTCTAAGGGAGGGAGGTAAACCGTTGCCAAGCTTACGAGGCTCGGACGGTGTCTGCCAAAGCAGACTCACCCGAGGGTGTCTGGAGGGTGTCTTCTGTAGTCCAGCGCGGCCCATTTTCCTGGACACGTTCCTGCCTCTCCAAAGGCACCAGCTGGCCTAGAAGGACCAGACAATGGCTTTATTGTTTGTAGGACTCATTAGCAGAGACGCACTTCAGGGAGCCTGGACGAGGCCCACAGAGCACGCCTGGCCAGCCAGAAGGGCGTGGGGCCCCTCACCCAGCCTGAGGCAGCAAGAGCGCCGGACTTGGCCTTTAACACAGCGATGCTTAATCTTTGGGGGTGGGGGTATCAAAGACCACTTTCTAGAATACATAAAAGTTATAGACAACCTTATCCCACCTCAAAAATACATATATGCCCCAACTTTTGCATACAATTTCCGGAGGTTCACGAGTTTAAAAAAGGTAAAAAACTCTCATATTAGTGCTTTTACTCGCCACTGTCTGTTCAGTAGAGTGAAAACCCAGCAAGGCTGCTCCCCAGGCCTCCTGCTCCCTCTCCCGACGGCCTCCGTGTTTAGCCAGACTCCACAGGGCCCTCATTTACAGGCTGGGCAGCCCTTCCTCCTCTGGTCTGGCGGACAGAGCAGCTTTCCCCCTTTGTTTCTCCTCTTTGGATCAGATGGTTATTGTGGCTTCAGAAGCTTCCCGACCTTCCAGGGTACAGGCAAAGCCAGCGCCGCTCCAGGACCTCCTCAAAGGCACCCACATTCCTCCACAATCATGTCTCTGTGATGGTCCAGGAGGACCCTGCCATTGTCCACATAGAGCATGCTCAGAGGCCTGGTCTTCACGGGGGCACAGCAGGTGGAGGGGACTCGGTGGGGCTGGTACCGCTTCAGCAGACTCTGTGAAAGGGACGAGAGGGAGGGTCAGTCCATACCCCAATGGCCAGGTCAGAATAGTGTCATTTCCGGGTAAAGGGTAAAAGATAGGGTCTCAATCACTTATTGGGTGTAAACATAGAAGAAAATTATTTAAAAAAAATAATCAGCCTGCCAATACATCGTCAATTCTAACTTCTAAATAACTTTCTTTTCTTTAAGCATCTTTTAAACAGAAGATCCTAAAAGCTGTTTCTGGGGAGAACAGCAGCTAAATTATATGTTCTCCTATTGTTACTGCCTAGAGTGAATAGCAGTTTTAAAAATATTCCAGGAAACTGCTGGTTTAGTTCCAAGAACATGGGCAGAGGAGAGCCATGTGGACATTCTTATGGGATCTTCCTAGTTGCCCAGAGAAGAGCGGAGTCAACGGGAAAGAAGGCAGTGACCCCTTGGCGTTCTGCAACGGGACTCTGCCCCTGTGACCCAGTGACATCTTTTCAGGTCAGAGCTGGCCCCTGGGACCATCTGGGTCTCTGTGGTTCCCTCTGATCTGCTGCAGGCGGGTTGGTTGGGAGAGGTTCACGAGGGCCTTTGCCCAGGCCAGGTTCCCGGAGGAGCTGGCCCCCCCCAGCGCATAGTCAGCTCACACGATCCCCAGAGCCTCCGAACCCCAAGGCATGGCATGGAGGCACTACAGGTCCAAGACGTTCTCAGTCTAGGCTTCTCGGAGCAAATAAACACACGGTGTCCTTACAGCCTTGGAGAGCAGGGCAGGGCCGCCTGCAACATCAGGGCCGCTACATGAGCCTCTGTTCTCTACTGTCTCCACCTCCTCCTTGCATTCCTCTCCCTCCACCACCTTCTAGAACTTAGGCTGATTGGTGGCACCTGGTGGTAGCCTATGGCCTTTTCTAACTCTTTTAGGCAGCAAAAGTATAGCAGCTAGAATAGTATTATCTCAACTTACGGCCCCGTAAATGTGGCCCCCATTTCATCAATGAATCTCAGGCTCCTAGTAACGATAACATCGAACATGCCTGTTATCTGCCAACTACTGTGCATGCAGTATACACAGCATCTCATTTAACCCTGCGACTTCCCTATGAAATATGGCACTGCTATGCCCATTTCACAGGTGGGGAAACTGAGGATCAAAGAGAGTAAACATGTTGATCAATATTGCACAGCTAATAAGTAGGAATCAAACCCAGGCCTCTCTATTTCTAGACTCCAGACGCTGAACTTCCTTTCCTCAAATGTCAGGGCTAGGGAGGAGGTGAGACCCTCTGGTCTATACCCTCCACCCCTAATTTTACAAAAGACAAGGACAAAGTCCCAGGAAAGCAATGTGTTCAAGGCTACGGTGGGGGGCATGACTGCACGGAGGCTCTCTGAGGATGTCGTCATTGGTCATCTCCATATCCCGAGGCCCGGGCACCTGGCCCGGCACCTGGAAGGTGCCTGAATAACTGTGCAGGAATGAACACAGCCATTTAGTAGCAAGGCTGGAGTCCTGTGCCCCTGACCTGGCAGCGCAGCCCCTTCTCCCCTCGACCGCCAGCCCTCCCGCAGGCTTCAGCACCACACCTGGATGTACGCGTGGTTCGTCGGATGGAACTCCTCCCCCACGGGGTTAGGACACTCGCCCTCGCAGCGATAGGCGTTGTACTGCTTGGGGTAGATGATCCAGGCGCCCCATCCAATCAGGTTGAAGTCCACCTGGAACTTGACCTTCCGACACAGTTGGCTTCTGTCGGGCAACGGATGCCGAGGGTGCCTCCTGCCCCTCTCCCGGAAGAGCTGTCCCTCCTGGGCCCTCCAGGAGCTCTCAGCTTCCCGCAGCAAGGTGGGGCCACCCAGCCTCCTCTGCTCAGGAGAGAGGTTGGAGTAGAGCAGGAGGAGCACACTGGTGACAGGTGGCGTGGGAGGCCGCTGCCAGCACTCTCGAGCCAAACTGGACATCTGCTCCTTCAGCTCCCCGGGGTGCTTCAGCCACTTGGAGAGTGGCCTGGTCACCTCCAGGACCATGCTGCCCAAGGAAAAGGTAACCTGGGACAGAGTGACAGTGAACAGTTCCATCCGAAGACGTTCCAGGCAGCTGGCTGGGTCCTGATCTGCCTCCAGCTTTGGCTGATGGAAAATCTCAATGGAGAGCGGGACGTCAGGGGAAAGGTCCACAGGGCTGGACAGCTGCAGCCGGAGCTCAGCCCACTCCAAATCCTCTTTTTGGCTCAGGAAGGAGAAGTCAAAAGCAAAGGTCCAATTCTGCCCGTCCACCTCCACATCTGGGGGGAGAAAACACAGGAAGGGAGTAGGGTTGGGGGGGGTCCTGCAGTCTTGGTGGACGTAACAAGAACCGCAGCTCCTGTCTGAGCTCTCAGCTCCTACGGATCACCTCCCTTAATCCTCTCCTTCACCCTATGATTTGGGAATGTTATTGAACCCATTTAGATGAGGACAATTGAGGCTCAGAATTTAAATTACCTGCTTAAGGTTTTATTCTTGGCAGGTGGCAGGGCCAAGAATGAACCTGGATTTGCCTAGGTGATAAACCCAAACTCCAAATCACTGTTCTGCTACTCCCCCTCAAGACCCTCCAAAGCCAGAGAACAATTGGTAAAAATTGGACAAATTCGTCTCCCCTCCCGTCTACATGTGCACACACATACACACACACACACACACACACACACACACACACACACGGCCTAAGGCCATGCCCTAAGCTTTCGACCTAAACCCTTGCACATACCCGGTAACCCTGGCCCAAGTCACCTTCCCAGGCCCCGTTTTCTCAGTAGAAGAGTGGCCCATTTCACAGGCACGATGAAGTTGCTGTGCATGTCATAGGAAGGCTGGGAGCTCCCAGGGAGGCACAGGCAGCAGAGGCCAAACCCTGGCTACCCTCTTCCTGGCCGGTTCCTCAAGCTGGAGGCAGCAGCTGCAGAGGGTTTGGCAACCTTGCAAAGAGGCTTCTCAAGGCATTCTGAGCTTGACTTTGCACTGGCCTCGCACTTTCCACCCAGTGGTTTCTCCTCTGTACAGGGCGCTCGCCCTGTCTTCCCCAGGTCCCCCACACACCCAGGGCAGACTCAGCAAGGGCACACGCGTGTGCGCACGCATACACAGCCCTGTTCCCCTCCCCCAAGGCAACTAAGCCCGAAACGGATGCAAAGGAGCCGGAAGCACATTCCATTTATCTTAGTCCTGGACAAATTTGGTCTGATGTCTGGGAATGTCATGGAGTTATAAATTTTCAGGTCACCTAAAAATGATCTTTAACTTTTTCCAGCTCAATTTCTTCTTCTTTTTAGTGGAAATGCCTTACTCAGATCTGCATTATCAGACCCAGGGAAATCAAGAGGTTTGAGGGTTTATTGCTGAATAAAAGTCAAGGGTTTTTCATGAGAAACAAAAACAGTAGCCCTTTCTACATAGATCCTAAATCTCTGATTTAAGTCCTTCTGGACAGACTACGTAACAGTTTTTTGTTTGTTGGTTGGTTAGTTTGTTTGTTTTATTGTCCCGTGAGGCATGTTGGGTCACAGTAAGTGAATTGCTCTGGGAAATCCAGCCTGCAATAGAAGGGGCAATTCCTGGGCTCAGCCTCTGGAAGCTTCTCCCGGCCACTCGCTAGCTGTTCCTTCTCACTTTATTCCCACTTCCCTCCTCATTAGCACCTGCAGGGGGCAATAACCGGCCCAGACTGGCAGCTCTGCCCAGAGGTGTGGGGAGGAGGGTGACGTTACCTGCTGCCCATTGGAGCACCACCTGGCCACCCGGGGATTAGGTGGGACATGCAGCAACTCCTGGCCACACGCACCAGGAGTTAACATATTATCTCAAGTCTCAAGTATCCACAAATGGCCTTTTACAGGAAGGGCTTCCAGCCAGTGGTTCAGAGCAGGGGCCCTGTTGTCTCTGGTGATGGTTCAGATTCTGCCATTTGCTGTTTCACAGCAGGCTGGTTACTATCTGAGAGTGTCTCGGGCCTCAGTTTCCCTCTTTGTCAATGAGAAGTAGGGACAGCATCCACCACCGCTGTGCCGAGATGTGTGTGAAGAGCTTTACGAAGCACGGCCACCACAGTGGGACATACGTGGGCCGCCGTCAACCAGAGTTAGAAATGAAGGTGGAGGCAGACAGGGACCTGGACGGGGGCACGAAGCCATGTGTTACGGGGATGAGCAGTGTGTGAGGAGGGAGGGCGGGGGAAGGACTCCTTCCTGCTGGGACCCCACAACCCCATCCCTGCCAAGGGCCCCCGTGACACGGCCCTGATAGGTTTCCCTGGATGTGGCTCCAGTTCATCTTAGAATAGGGGTGCTAATCTTTTCAGAGGTCACTGATGCCTGACGCTCTCGTCTAAGAAAGCTCTCCTGGGGGGGGGGGGCGGCGAGGAACCGTACCTCCCACTTAAACAGTCAATGCGATTGTGGCTGCCCTCATACCAAGTGTTTTACAAGCGCTGTGTCCTTTAACCCTCCCCTCCTGCACCCCCATTCTGCAGATGAGGAGCTGACTGTCCACGGTGGAAGTGGTCAAACAGCGACAGATGGAGGTGAGAGGCCACCTGTGCACCCCATCCTGGGGCAGCCTTCCAGTCAACCCAGAAAAGAAAGGAGCCGCTTAGCACGTGCCTCAACCGCCTCCCTCCAGGCCGGCTGTTCTTGCTGCTTTCACAAAGTGAAGCTAATTCGCAAGAGGGTGAATGCACTTGAGGCCACTGCACAGTTGAAAATGAGTAAAATGGTGGATTTTTGTTATGTATATGTTTTGCCATACACACACAAATGAGGCAGAAAGAAAGCCAGCTCCGTGTTTTATAAAAGAGGAAACTAGAGAAATCGACTGAAGTTTCAGGGACACAAAGGGAATTGGGAAGCAGGGCTTGGGGGCAGAAACCCAGTTCTCCAGCCCTAGACTGGCCAGCCCACCTTGGGGAGCTCTCCGGGAAAAGGAACTGGGGAAGTGCATCGCGCTTTGCACAGCCGCCCATCCCCAACACCCCTCCCCCACCCCCGCAGCTTTCTGGTGGAGGAGCCAAGCGCTTTCAAATTGCCCCTCTCCCCGGGGCGTCCCTAGTCTGGCTGGTCCCCGGATGACCCTTCCGGAGAGGGTCAGGAGTCGTCTGACCCGAGTCTAGGCAGGCCAGGGACCTAGGAGCCCCACCCACAGACTACAAGGGCCGGCGGGTGGCAGTCAGATCAGATTATCGGATGTGGATTTCGCCTGCGCCCCGGGGAGGGGCCGTCTAGCCCCGGCAGCGGCGGGAGGCGCGGGGCGGCAGGGTTCCCCTCACCAGTCCAGGATGTGGATTGCGCGGGGTGAGGGGACCTCTGCACGACGCCCACATGCCCGCAGCGCCCGGGGCCCAGGCACGCTCTCCCCTCCCGGAGGGCGAAACTCCCGGGTCACCATAGTCACTGACTCCCCCGGGCCCCCTCCAAATCTGGGCCCTGAGTTCGGCTTAACCCGGGACACTGACACCTCCCCAGCCTGGCCTCGAGTACTCAGACTTGCCTCAGTTCTCGACTTTGGGGTGTCCCACCTCTGACCCCAGATCTCTGAACTCTAATGCCTGGTGTTCCGCACTCGAGTCCCGTTTGGAAGCCTGCTCTCCTCCTGAGACGCTCAGCGCCAGACCCGGATCCCTGGTCACCCTCACTCGCGAAAAGCAAAAAAAGGCGACAAGACAAAATTATTGTAGCAATACCAACGACCCAGACTTAGAGGGTTTTTTGTGCTTCGTCACTAAAGACTTTATGCGGGAGGTACTGTTACTCCTAGTCCCCAGGTGCGCAAACTGACACGCCCAAAACCACGTGATCTAACGAAACCGCGCAGACAGAAAGCGGCACAAATAGGCTCCCCCTTAAAGCGCTGCGCTTACCCCCACGACCCAGGACCCCGAGGTCTCAGTCCGAGACACACCTGGAGCACCGCGATCCCGTCGCCCATCAACCCTGCACCCGAAACAATGCCGGCGTCGCGACACCCCCAGACCCAGACCCTGACCCCCGACACACCCTCCGAGCTCGTGGGCGCCCCCACGGATCTGCAGCCCCCAGCTGGCTCCTGCGCCCCCCGGGGGCCGGAGGTAGGATGGGACTCCAGGCGCCCCGGGGTGCTCAGCGGTGTGCGCAGCCTACCTTGCGCTTGCAAGCTGCGGATGATGTCCGCCCGGGGCGGTTCGCGGTAGAGGCTCAGCATGTACGCCAGAGGGGACGGCGATGAGGGCTGCCCCCTCGTACGTAGGGGATCGGGGGCTACTGTAGCGGCGCCCGCCTGGAGGAGGGCCCACCAGATGTGCAGAAGGAGGAAGTGGAGCCGGTGGGCGTGCATGGTGGGCTGGCCGAGCCTGAAAGCGGTGCCTCTGTCCTTATATCCTGGGCCTTCCTAGCCGCCCAGCCCCGCCTTCCTTCTTGGGGGAAGCTTTAAGATCATATACACGCCCCCCCCCCATTCTGGGAGATGTCCCCCAGAGAGACCCCCTACCCCGGGCGGGCGGGGCCTAAGCCTGGTAGGGTGGAGACCCATACTGCCCCCAGAGGAGCCTAAAGGTCCAGGCACCCTCTAGTTTGTCTGGGCACCTGGCCCCCCTAGGACTTAGTTCTGAAATGGTGCAGGCTTGTAGCTTGCACCCAGGTCAGAGCTGTGGCTTCCTTACTCTACCCTCACCTGGGGTCCCTGCCCTTTCCTCTCTGTCCCTCCAGCCTCCGAATGTATGTCTGGCTCAACAAGGAGCATGTAGGGGGTGGTTACCAGAGAAGGCGTGGGCCCACACTGGCCTGTGATGTCTCTGCCTAGCCTGGTCAGCGTGGCCTTCCTGGAAATTGTCCAGAATGGCCTCCTGGAGCACCCCTGGCCTTACCTGGCAGGGCCCACCTGGAGCACCGGCCTTGGGGAGAATACTGGGTACTCAGAGTTGTAGGAGCAAAGGTGAGCTCCAGACCAGGACCCATGGGGTCCTGCTTCAAATATCAAGGTTGTCTCCTGGGGAAGGCAGAGGTCAGAAGTGACCAGGATTGCCTCATGAAGGCTGGACTCCTTCCTTAGAAAAGAGAAGTGGTCAGCGGAAGCCAGAACCCAGAGCATAGCTGACGGATGACGCCAGCCCCCACGAGGGGGGTCCCAGTGGTGGCACCAGGCACTTCCCTTCACAGGCACACATCACCTTCGTGATTTCGGGGGAAGATGTTGCCCATGATGTCCATGCCCGCAGCCCCTGTCCGCCCTGGCCTGGCAGGAGACCCAGCTTTAGCTCAGGACCTCTCACTTCTGGCTCTCTGGGCCCCGCTTCCTCATCTGCTCCAGAGGGACCCTTGCCTGGCCTCCCTTCCAGGTGCAAAGGCAGGTCCCTGCTGGAATTACCGCTAAAGAAGCGGAAATTCCCGCCCGCATCAGGCTGAACTGCTTTGCTCCACACAGGTGGGAACCCCACCCCACCCCCACCCCCACCCCTCAAGTACTGCTCTAGCCAACAAGTGCATCAGCAGTTGGTCAGCATTTACTGAAACACTCACTTCCCACCCCCCCGCCCACGCACACCTCGGTCCCTTTCACAGGATGCCTCCAGCCCCAAAGAACCACAGGCCTAGCCCTGAGCAAGCGTTAGACTGTAGAAAGAGGCCCAGCAGGCTCCGACCGGAGCCCGGGCAGAAGCCAGTCCCACCAGCAGGAAGGGACATTGCCTGGGAGAGACCTGGGTGACAGACCGAGGGACCTGGATGATCTATCTGCTCAGCCAACTGTTGCTCCTTCAAGCTGGGGACCATCGTGTTCGTCATGCTTTCCCCACAGTACAGACCATAGCTGGGACCCCATAAGTCTCAGCTAAGTAAAGAAATCAGTGACTGTGTCTGCACTTGCCTGAAGATAAGTATTGCCAAGGGTGTTTGTTAAACTACTGATTCTAGAGTCCCAATCCAGACCTTCAGGATTAGAACTGGAGGAAACGGCTTTTTTCTACCCATGTAACAAGCACCCCCATGATTCATGATTCTTTTCATCAGACAACTCTGAGAACCTAGGTGGGCTGGGACTCTGGCTGTGGGTTGGAGCCCACCTCTCCTGTTTTGCTTCCTCGTGCAGAAAGCAGGACTGGGGATGCCTCCTTCCGTGCAGATTAAATGAAGTAAATCCTAAAATGCTTTGCACACTCCAAACCTGGTATATTTGTAAAACCTTATGCATGTGGATATTAGGGGGATTGTCACCCAACGTCCCCAGCCCAGGGCTTGCTGGCTGGGTGTTGTCAGCCCCAGCCGGCTGCAATAGACCCCTCCTCAGAGGCAGAAGGGGCCCTAACCCAGATGATGAGTCTACAAATAAAAAAAATGGTAGATCATGGAAAGTGCTGTGGGGGCCCGGAAGAGGATGTGGGAACCAAGAATAGCAACGCAGGGGAGGTGCACACAGCCAGACAGGTATAGGAGTCAGCATCCCCAAAACCCCGATCTCACAAGTCTCCTTGTGTCCTAGAATCACGTGGCCCCTGTTTAAAGAGGGACATTCAGCACAAAACAGTTTACCCACCAAGACTGGGGGAGGAGCAACAGAGATAACACATCTGCTTCCCACACTGGACCAGCAGCTTCCCGGAATCAAGGACAAAGCTTTAGTCATCCTGTGTCCCTTGCACTATGTGGCACGTAATAGGTGCTCAGTAACCGTATCAGTTCAAACAAATGCTAATGACAATAGTTAATACTGTCTAGAGAAAATAGTTTTAATACACAGAATAAATAAAGCAAATGTAGAATCCCTAAACATGCATTGGACTTCCATTTCCAACTCTGATGTGTGGGGAGCTCATCGATTACCCCCTCCATCTGCACAAGAAAAAGTTGGACAATCTGACAATCGACAATTTTTCTTCCACCCGTCAGAGAACAGTAGTTAGTGTGTGTTGAGCACCTAATGCAGTGGGCGGTCTGCTAACCATTGCACAGATTTTCTCATTGTCCCCCCTTCAGAGATGAGGAGACAGGTTCGGAGGAAACAAGGCGCCTTGGCCAAGGCCACAGACTGACAACAGAGAACGGCCAGGACGAGACGGGCAGGGCTGCTTGTTAACCAGACCTGGGCTTCCAGCCCTATAGCTCCCCTGCAGATGAGAGGGTGAATGTGTGCCTTGTACTGAGGCAAAAAACTCTCAGATAACAGTCTTGCCTTCTCCGGGGCTGGGGCCCGCAGATGGCTGGGAGCTGCAGACAGAACCCCTCTCTGATGTGTATTGGCCCAGAGCCGAGCGGAGGCCTGGAATCACTCTGACCAGCGAGTGCTACTCTGTCAGAGTCCTTCCAGCTCCGGATGTTCTCCAGCTCCGGCACCCTGGAAGAAGCTGAGTCTCCATCACCTCCGCAGGACAGAGGCTAACAGTCATCTTTCTAATTTTTTAAAGGTATTTCTTAATTTAGGGTCTGTTTCCTATTAGAAGGACGAAAAGTGCCCTCTTCCTAGGAAGGGAATGATGCCTCTCACTTCCCCTGCCCCAAACAGACTGACCGACTGACCGGCAGATTCCCTGACCTGGGAGATGACCACTGAGGGCCATCCCAGCTGGCTGGGGGGTGGGAGGCTAAGTCCCTCAGTGTTTTCAAATGCTTTCCATCAGGCCCTCCGTCGGGACCCCCTCTTGACGTGAGCAACACTATGTGGCAAGTTCAAGTGCTGGGGCTCTGAGGTCAGGCTTCCAGGAGGCAGGATCTGGAGCCTTCTGCTTCACTACCTGCACACATTAGGCATTCCCTTCCCATCTTCAAGCCCTCGCTTCCCCTCTGTAAAATGGAGATAACGGATAGTATCTCCTTGACAGGCACTCGGTAAGTACTGTGTGTGTGAGGCTGCGGGGCACGCAGCATCTGTGCATTCATTCACTGACCGAAGCTGCTTCTCTAGCGAGCCGATGACAGTTCAACTCCAAGAGCTATTCTCAGGGAGTCAAGCAAGATGCCATTTCAGCTCTGCACATAGTTAACGAGCATTTCCCATATGCCGGTTGGTGAGCCTGGCTGTCCTTCCAAATATGTTAACCCTGGAATCCTATTCGCTCCTCGGTGAAGCTCTGTGAGGTGTGTAAAGCGCTCCAGAGATGGGGAAAGGGAGGTACACAGAAATTAAATGGTATAAACTTCGTTAGGGTGGTGAGTGTCGCACATTCCAGTGCCTAGCACAGCCTCTGGCTTACAGGAGCTCAAGTACCGACCAAGTGATTGACTGAACTCCACGTGCCTGAAGCGGGCTCCCAACACGCCTGCGAATTTCACACGCCTCTTCATGCAGCCTCCTCCCATTCCCACTTTATTCCCCTGGGAAACTCCTACTCATCTATGAAGATGCAGCTTACAAGTCCTGTCCTCTACACACCTATCAGTAGCTCCCCAGAAATTTCGTCAAGCCCTCTTTCAAGTAAAGCATCACAGAGCAGTGGTCCGCACTCTCTTCCGTGGCCACCATCAGACTGTGAGCTCCCTGGAGGCAGGGACTAATCCTGACTCATTCCTCTTCAAAGCCCAAGCTCCCAGCTCATAACTGACCTTCGCTTGCTGTGATTTTCAGCCTAAAGGAATGAATGCAGTCCTGGAAATGGTAATGGCGGGCCTAAGCACAGACTTCTGGCGTCCACCTTTAGTACTTGCCCACTCTTTCTGTTACCCAACTCCACTGGTCTCAGAGGCCAAACCCAGAGCTTTGAGGGACTGGCTAGGAGCATCTGCTGGACACACGCGGCTATCTGTGACCTGGAGATAGAGACCACAGTCCTTCCTCATAATCCCCATGTACCCCAAATGCACTCCAGCTCCGTGGAAACACCTTCCCTTCCCCATAGTTCTTCCCTCGCCCAGAATGACTCTGCCCTCTCTTCATTCACACAGTTCAGCTCAAGTGTCTCCTCTGCCACGAGGCCTTCCTCGTGGGGTCTCCCCATCCCTGCCTCCCCTCCCACTGCAGGCTCTGATCCCAGCCATTCTTGAGCAGCTGAAGTCCTTGAGCGCCCAGGAGTCTTGCACCAGCAAGCCTGCCGCTCAGCTCACTCCGCATTCCTCAGAGTACTGGTCCTTGGTACGCGGACGTGGCACACCATGCTTGCAGCCCGCCCGGGCTGATGCAGTGTTTTCTCTGCCCCCAATGGTACTTTGAAAAGTTTTTATTTAAGGTGCCAACATGTAAAATTCTAAGACTGTGTATAAAATAGCTTCCCTCCCATTATTTGAGAAGTGGGAAGGTCTAGGCCCTTAGTTCAACGTGGTGAGCTTTCCCTAAAGCTGCGCAGCGGACACTTCCTTCAGGCAGGGTCTGTTCTGTGAGGGGTGCCCCCGACCCCACCACTCCCGACTGAC